CCCCCGGTCACCCCCCGGTCAGCCTCCAGTCAGCCCCTCGGTCAACTCCCCGTTCAGTCTCCAGCCAGACCCCGGTCACACCCCGGTCAGTCCCCCGCCGCACCCATCCCCCGGCCACCACGGACCATCTTTCTCCACTCCTCCTTTTATATTCCTCCCCCCCAGCCCATCCTTTTTTTCCCCCCCGCCAAATGATTCCTTTCGAACAAACAAAGTCCTTCCTGGAGACATGGCTGAAAGAGCTGTTTTGCTGGAGCATCATTTCCCTGAGTTACTTCTACAATTTATAGTTCGCCAGTCCTGGCGTTTGCGGGGAGTTTGGTGCCCATCGCTCTGCTCGCAGCCCTGCGATGGCTGCGGGCCRCAGGGAGGAGGCACCGGCTGCACACAGGACGGAGGGAGGAACAGAGTTCCAGCCCTGCAACTGAAGAAAAATAAATTAGGCAGCGTCTGCAGACAGATCTCTGGATCCAGCCTCTCTTTCTGTGCCTCCTCCATGAGCTCACTGCCTGGATCCCTGGTCGGCTCCCAGATATCACACTTGCCCTCGGGAATGATGATTCGGTGCTATTTTATGTGTGCAGAGCAGAGCAGAATCCACACCCCAGCTGCCTGTTTTTGGCGAACCCTTCCCTAAACCATCCCTAACAACCCCCAGCCAATGCAGGGTGACTGSTCAACACGYGAGTCAAAGAGCCYCCGAACCAGAAAAATATCCACRGCCAAAAAGRAAGMACAAACCACCTGGAGGATAATCAGYGTGGAAGSTGGGRAAGTTTCTGTGTCATTCCCAGCACAGAATCTGAGCAGGGCAGGGCACTCCCAGCTCTCTGACAGCCCATGTCCAGCTCTGGCCGGCCCAGGGAGCAGCAAACCCTGGTATCTGTGTGTCCTGCGGCATCTGGGGCTGCTCAGGAAGTGGAGCACAAAGACAGGAAAGAAGGCAGGAGGGCAGAGCCTGGGGCAGGCTGCACATCATGTGGATTGATGGGTGTTGGGGTGGGTGCAGGGGGAACAGGGAGGAGATTCATGTCCAGTTGCGTGACAGGACCACAGTTTGCTTTACCCTTTGTCAGCTCTGAGAAATAGATATGCCTTCCTGATGTCTGGGCATTTCCCACATCCAGATAAGCAAGAAGCAATCAAAACACAATCCTTAATCTTTAACTGCTCTTCCTAGGAGCTTTCCTAGCCTTCTTTTTTTTTCAGTGATTCTGAGCTTGCAGATCTGGGATCCCCAGCTGCCCCCTGCCTACTGGGGACAGGACACCAGTGTGAAACAGCAAAGGAGCATTAGCTGGAGAAAACTAGTTTCCCACTGGATTTGGTGGTCCCTGCTCTAGCCTGTTTTCCAGCAAGCTCTCTAAATGTGATTTTTTGCTGCACGTGGCCAAGGCCCTTCTGAATGGTGATTACAGACCGAGGTGGGCACAGGTCACTGAGCTAACTGCTCTCATTCTCTCTCTGCCAGACTCTCAGTTTTACAGCAGCCCTGCACCTCCCTGTAGGCTGCTATCCTGCTTTTTCCAGCCTCCTGCAGTCCCCCCAATCCCCTGAAAGGGGTTGAGAAGGATGTGCCACAGTAGGAGCAGAGCCAGCTCCCCTGTCTGGCCCTTAGTTCCATGTCCTTCTATTTCTAGATAGGGCTCTAGCAGTCCCTCTCCTCTGCTCTCAAGGACATTTTAACAACAACCAGGCAGGAGATTAAAAAGTTGGCAGCAGTTTTCTCATCAGCAGGCAGCTGCCAGTGCCTGCTCCCAGGGCTCTGTCCGGACAGAATCCCAGAGGATCAGGCCCACAAAAGCCTTTGCTCACAAGATGAAGCTTCCTGAGACCCCAGTGGGGMCAGGGGCTGGCTGATGGTCATGGGGTTGCTCCACACCACAGATGAGCTGCTCGGAGCTGGGGCACCCCATTCCAGCCCTGGCCCTGGTGCCTCCATCCCCCTGCTTCTGCTCTGCTGGTGCTGCCCATGTTCCCCAAGCCCCCCTGCTCCTGGTCCCCCTGCTGCAGGCCAGGGTAAGGATTTGGCTCAGGAAGAAGCTGTGGTCAGCCCCCATGGGATGCCAGAACTCATACACCCGCTTTCAGGGCTCTATATTTTTGTATCCTGGCTCTACAGCAAGTGCTGACTTCGATCCATCTACCTGGATTTGTTGGAAACTCCAGAGAAAAATCCCTGCTGCCTCTGTTCTGCCTTTTCCCACCTGTGTCTGCAGAGTGTCAGGATGCACAGAGAGGTAGACGCAGACAAGATGTCCCACCTGAACGCTGTGCCTCCTGGGTGACACCGTGCCTGTATCACAGTAAATTACACTTGGATTTGACAGGTAGAGCAGCAGGTGGAAGAGATCTGACACARCCCCTCAGACATACCTGCCACTCACAGCTGCAGCTCCCTGCGCTGCTGTTTTGATCACAGAGACAAATGGAGGTGGTTGTCAAGTGGTGACTGAAGCTCGGTGGACGGTGGTTCAGACTGAAGAAATCCTCCCAGCACAGAACATCATTCCCACAASACATGGAATGGCTTCTCCAGCCTTTTCCCCTGCAGCAGAGGCTGCGGATGTGCAGCACGAGTGAACAGCACGGCTGGCACGGGGCCAGTTTGAAGGTGTGCACAGAGCAGCATCCCACCGTGTTCTCCTCTGGAAGGAGGCACTTTCTCCGCTGCAGCCCTTGCAGAAACCGTGTGGAATGAGAATCCTTCTTAATGTCAACCTTCTGCCATGGAATCAATAATTTACTGAGGATTACAGCCCCRAAATTACAGGCTTAGCACACCCACATGCTGCGCATCCGTGAGAAGCCCATCAGCGTGTCTCACCTCGCTGGAAATGCACGGCCTTGCCTCAGTGGGCTGAGGCTTTCAGGACTACAGCAGCATGGGGCAGGGTGGCTGTGCCTTGCATCAAGACCCTGTTTTCTCTGCACCACAAACATMTTTTCTGCTGTCTGAGGGCCCTGGTCGCTGGCAGGTTCTGGCATTGCCGTGCTGCAGCAGTGCCAGCTGCTTGCTGTTCCCCTGGCTCAGCCCAGGAACAGGAGCAGTTTTGCAGGGAAAAGCAAGGTGGGACTGAAACACATCAGGGCAGAGGCAGGACCTTCAGCTGAGCTCAGCCTGGCTGGGCTGGTCTCACACAAGAGCAGGGACCTTGCCACCAGCCTGCAGCCCCACAGGCACAGGCATACACAGCCTGGAGGATGCTGCCTCGCTGTGCTGGGCCTCCAGAAAGGAAGACTTTAAAAACTTGGGTTTTCCCCCAATTTGTGTTCGGGATATGCGATTCATTTCTCAAATTAAATGGAAAAGAAACTGAAGGGTTGAGGGTTTATTTCTGTCCATCCCTCATCCACCGTCTCCACCRCTCTTTCACTGACATGAAAAAGAATTGCAAAACTGCACGTATGATTTCAAATGTGGAGGCAGTGGAGGTGACTCCGACTGCTGGAGAAGCCCTTTCCACCCAGGACCTCTGCCAGGGAACTCTCAGCTGGGCTTGCTGTGTCACCCTGGTGCCATGTGCTGGACCAGAGCCACGCTGGCAGCTCTGGCAGAAACGGAGGGATGGGGATGATGGGGGGGGTGCTGCACTGTGCCCACCCAGAGCGAGGTGAGGGAGAGGACAAGGAGCTGCAGTTCAAGTAGCCRGATCCAGTGTGGGATAGGACGTGGGGCAAGGAGGTTTCTGCACCCAAGAGGACAGAATCAGTCGTTTTCCTCCTCCACCCTAATCCTGTTTTTATGCCTTCACACTGCAAGGTCCTGCCCYTCCAAGGAGCCTCCTGTTCCCTGGAGCACAGTGCCCAGCTGTGGTCAACCCATGGAGCCCCCCAGACCCCCCATTCCTCTCCAGCTGCTGAACTCTAAGGAGACATCTGGAGACAGAGAGGGAGAGAAAAGGTTCACTCCAGAGGAGTGGTTCAGGGGCTCCACATCTCTGTCTGATACAGAGAAATCCGCAGCAGTAATTGAGGCATTGTGCTTCCTCAGCCTCTAGCACACATGCTCTGACTGCAGTCTTTCCAGCTGAAGCCCTGGCAGCTGAATGCCTCCTTGCTTTAATCCCTGAGATTGCTGAAGGATGCTGCTTTCATCTGATAGCATTTATGGACAGTTATAATGAGCTTTGGCTTGCTGAGATAAATTAAACTGCTCACCCAGAGGTGCAAACTTCATTAATGCCAGCAGTGAGTCAGATCAGTGCTATTCTAGCCCAGAATGTAAACAGGCTGGACACATGAAAGGGGATTTGGCTGGGATTTTTTTTTCTCTTTCTTTTTTTAACCTTCCTAATTGCTGCTGATTTGTATTGTTTTGCTGCATCTCTGCTGCTTTATCACCTCTTTATCTTCTTGGGGAAAGCATCAAATAACACACCACTCTGGSCTGAACGATTTAACTCCAAGTGTCCATAGCTGGCAAAACACTACAGCTTGGCCTGGAAGGTTTCTAGCTCTTTCCCATATTTGACAAGTCCAAAAAGATATTTAAGACTAGATCTGGTGGGAAACTGAAGCATATCCCTTATTTCTGTCCCAGCTYAGAGGCTGGGAAATAAGACATTGCACGCTGAGAGAAATGTCACAGAGGAGATGGGTAAACAGTGAACAATCATCATAAAAATCCATGAGGCTGTCACTGCATGATGTGATGAGCAGGAGCTCTGTCCGTGCTCACAGGGTGACACCAGTGCACCTCTCTCCAGCCATGKGAGAGAGTACAGRACATTGCTCACTCAGTAATTCACTYCCTCATCACCTTTCAAATTAGACCCAGAGCCTATGATTAGGCACAGGACCAAACTTTGGGGCTCTGTGTATCAGAAGAAGATGCCACAGGCTCCAAATTTCAGCCTGTGAGTCCTTCAGAAACACTGGTTTCTCACAGTGTATTTTCCCAGTGCAGGACGCGCTCCAGTTTCTCCGTACAGGAAACGRCACAAATGTAACACAATAAATTTAATTCATCATAGCAATTAAGACCTTGAGAGCGTGGATCAGCAAGGGAGGATCCAGCCACTGGGGAAAGCGTTTCCAGGAGCCAATGTGTGAGAGCCATCTGTCGCCTCTCCACGCACAGTGACAGTCACAGCATGTCTCTGCAGCCTACTTGGAAAATCCACACGGTGACAGTGGCTTGTTGAGCACAGTCTGCGAGTGTTTCCTGCCAAGAGGGGCATGTGAGGCTCAGCAGCGATGGTGCCCAGCAGCCCTGAGCATGAGGGGCGACTGCTTGGGGAAGGAAAACATCGCTGGTGGGTTTGCCAAGGTCTGAGTGCTCCCTGCAGAGAGCRTCCTGCCTCCACTGAAGCAGGGCTTCAACAGTCTGGTTGGGAGTAAAAACCTAATTCCTGCTGAGAAATGCTGTCAGAAAAGGGAAAAGCTTGCTCCAGGTGACACTGATGGCTTCCTCACGCTCCTTTACCTGCAGTCACAGGACAATTAACTTTTCTTTCCATTATTCTGCATAAAAATGGAGACATGCAGACATAGAAGAAGGAAAAAAAAAAAAAAAAACCTACAGGCCTTACAGAACCTGTCACAGTGCTGCAAAGGCTCCTTTCACCAGGGAGGGTTGGAGGAAATAAGCATGAGACAGTCACTCACTGTTTTGCCCAAGGCAAGACTGAGAGGCCCGGAGATGCTGCAGCAAAACCCACAGCAAAGCTGCAGAACAAGGAACTGACTGAGCCAGTTCCTGGCCCACAAAATGCAGGAATCAGACCAGCTGAGGACAGGAACTACAGCGATTCCAGGATTACCTCATCTCCTTGGACCACCTCATCCCTTCACTTTCAGGTCTTCTCTGGTCTGTGATGAGGAGGTGGGACCTGAGTTCTCATTTGACCAGCAGAATGTGCTACACACACACCTTCAGCCCTGCTTGCACTTGGCTCCTGTCCYAGTGGTGCATCCTGAGAGTGTATCCTGAGATGAAGGACCTGCATGGCTTGTGAACACCTGGAGACATCCAAAATCCTGACTGAGGCTGATGTATCATGGGGGGCTTGGCTGGCAGGGTTTTCAGAAGACCAAGCAGGACCTGAAACCACCCCTGCCATGCCTTGCACCCTGTCTTTGCCCTTTATTTGTCCCAACATTATGCACAGCACCAATATTTATAGACAGAAAAATGACTGTGATTTCAGCAAAAACAATCTGCCCCCTCATTCCATTAATAATCCGGTTTCACTGCCAAAACATTTTAATTTCCATTTCTCCAGGCCTGCTTTGTCTTCCTGGTGTCTATTTTTACTGCATTTTGTGACAGGCAGCTTGTCAGTTTGCCATTCAGGTGCATCTTTCTGCAGCGTGGCCGGCGAAATATYAACAGCAGAGAAGCTTTTCTCAATGATTCTTCTAATTAGATTCACTGCCTGTAATTTATAGATGCACTGTGCTCAAGGAGGAACAGAAGGAGAGCAGAAGTTGCTGCCCTCTCTGCAGAGGGTTGTGAGCCGGGCCGGGGTGCTGCAGCCGCTGCAGGGATCGCTGTGCTGATGTCCCCCGGCCACGGACACCGGGGATGCGGGATGTTTTGAACGCACATGAGGCGGAATGCCGGGTGTCCGCGTTCCTCGGGGAGCAGGTCCCGTTCCCTGGGAGAGCAAAGGGCATCTCCCGAGCGGGGAGCGGTGCACCCGGGGGTGTGGGCCGAGCCCTGTGCAGGGACCACGGTGGTGCCCACCCGGTGCGGATCCTCCTCCTCCTCGCTCCGCACACGCCGCGTCCCGGGGCTCGCCACGATCGGCGGCAGCACCGAGAGGACGGCCCGAGGGGCGGCGGGGCCGGCGGGGGGCGGCTCCCGGGGCCGCGGCCGTGGCGGCTCGGCCCTGCCCAGCGCCGGCTCCGCTCCGCGCCTGGTTGGTGCCGCCGAGGCCGGGGGCGCGGCCAGGCCGGGGCCGGCCCGGTAAAGCCGGCGGTGAAGCGGCGGCGCGGGCGAGGCGGCCCCGCACCATGGAGGGGCACCTGGCGCGCTGCAAGATCGTGGTGGTGGGGGACACGCAGTGCGGCAAGACCGCTCTGCTGCACGTCTTCGCCAAGGACTGCTACCCCGAGGTGCGCCGGGCGGGCGGGAGGGAGGGCGGGCAGGGCGCTTCCCCCTCACGGCCTCAGCTCACCTCAGCTCACCTCTGCTCTCCCCTCCGTCCCTCAGAGCTACGTGCCCACYGTCTTCGAGAACTACACGGCCAGCTTCGAGATCGACAAGCAGCGCACCGAGCTCAACATGTGGGACACCTCAGGTGGGCCGGGGGCGGTGCGGGGGGCGGCGGGGCCGGCTTCAATCGCTGCGAGCGGCCGGGCTCCCGGAGCCGCCGGGCCGGGCTGGATGAGGGGGCAGGGACAGCACCTCCGAGCCCTGCGAGCCTCCGGGCTGGCCCCGGTGCCGTGCCGTGCCGTGCCGTGCCGTGCTGTGCCGTGCCGGGAGAGCGCTCCCTTGTCCCGCAGCCGCCGCGGCCTCTCGGTGCTGCAGCGATGTGCGGGAGACAGCACGGGGTAACGAGAGAAGCGGCTCCGGCTGCCGGGGAGGAGGGAGAATGCTCCCTTGCCTCCGGAGGGGTGCCCTGGCCTGTCATTGCCTGCTGCCACGGGAGCCTCTGGGGTTCTCTGGCGTCTTTTTGGCTCGGTTTGGTTTTGCCTCTTTGTGTCCTCAGTTGTGGTTCTGCGCAAAGCCTCAGGCACAGCTGTCCCAGCCCACCGAGAGCCGTCCCAAACTTTGTGCTCTCTGTCAGTGCACGCATGAGTTGCGAGCGAAGCGCTTGATGTGGAGCTAATAGAAATAGTGGCATCCCACAAAGTTCACATGCACTTCTAATTTACCTTCGGATTCCTTTGTAGAGGCAGTGCAGCTGAATGCTGTGCTCTGCTGATGAATATTCATCATGTGTTCGCTGATGCTCTTTCCCCGTATTCTCATAATTTCTGGAGTCCTGATGACAATTGAAGTCCTCTCAGTGTCCGAGAGCAGTAGTAAATTAAACCATAACCTAGGACTTCCTTTGCTGTTGTTCATTCAGAWTCCTTGCTGTAATTTTGCATTTATCAAATGACAGCTGTAGGATCAGCATAGCTCTATCTAGAGTAGTGGTTTTGCTGAGTCTTGGACAAGCTCAAACATGTAAAATATGCCTGAGTCTTCTTCTGGAGCTCCTGACCCAGGATACCTCGCTTTTGCTAATTTTTATTCCATGAGATGAAAAGGGTATTAGGGCACAGACTCCTGGGGCTGGAGCTGTGGATGAAGTTCTGGCTCTCAGCGCTTGGCYGGGAGCTGTGCTTGAAGCACAGAGTGGTGGTTACAGCATAGAAGCCATGGMACAGTGCTTGGTGCTGGGCTGATGGGTGTCTGAAGCCCCTCAGATGTGGCCACAGGGAAACCATCCTGGCTGGAACCTTCTCCTTGGAGCTGCTCAGGGTATGCCAGGACTAAGGGGTGGTTGACCTGGTGTCACTGTGATATACATGAGTGTACACCGACAGCTTCTTCWCCCATGATTTCCAAACCATGGGCTTCTGCAACCCTGGGAAACTTATTTTTGCTAGGCACTGAATGGATTTGCTCTTGAGTATCTGTATTTGATATAAAAAACTTCACCTTTGGAAGCACRTTTGAAGCATTGTCTACTTCTCAGGAATTCTCCAGAATGAGTTGCTTTGCTTTTACAAATGTTTAAAGAAAAGGACATGATGAAAAGTCCTTAAAGCTCTATGTATGTATCTGATACCTGCATCTGATGCTGTCACACATTCATTTTTCCCCTTGCGACAAAACATATTTTTCCAATATTTATCTCTGTAGCCAAAAGGAAATGGACTTTGATTTTTTTTTTCTCTTCTGCTATGAAAAATATCAGGCCTTTTTAACAGCTTTGCTTTAGATAAGAGTCCACCTGGTAGTTTTCCAGCTAAATTCCCTTTGATTTGAAATACACAGGAGCTAGTTCCTAATAAACAATCCTGCAAAGCACTGTACAGCAATTTTCCCTGGTAATCAAACCGAAATTTTTAGCTGCAAACCACTGTTGAGTTTCCATTACCCTTCGGAGCCTCTTATAAATGGCAGCTTTGGCAAAAGAAGTTTTGCACAACAGTGAGTTGTACCAGCTGAGCTGAAGGGATCAGGAGTAGCTTATTACCCACTACATGGAGAATGACAGGCACTTCCACTGGTGGGCACTTCCCCTTCTCTCTTTTAAGCTGCTTTTCACATAGAGGTTTATTGTTCATGATAAATCCCATCCCAGCAAAAGTGAAAAGGGAGATGTTGAGAAAGGGTGATTCTGACCTGAGGAGGAGAACAGTTTCTATTTTAAATGCTTGCCATCTCTTAGATGAGTAATTGGAACTGAAATTCCCCCAGAAATCAGCAGAGACCTGGAAGGAAGCAACGGAAGACTGAATGGCTCCCAAATTGTATTGGGACCTCTCACTTTTAAYCCTTTGTCCGTTGATAAAGTTTTCTGAGGCTGAAGGGTAACTCTGGACAGTTTCCAGCACCGAGAGCCCTTCATACGAATGAAACCTGTGGTGTTCTGACAGGGCAAATTCTGGGACTCTGCACTGTCTCAAATGTGCCTCAGATCTGGGAATGTACCAGGGAGAAAATCCCCATTTCCAGCATCTGCAGGTGCTGGTTGTGTTTCACGTTTGTTTCCATTTGTGTCCCAGCTCAGGATGGACCGTGGGAATAAAATTGCTTCGGGTGCCATTTCACAGCATGTCAGGAGTGTCCCATCCCTGCTGTCCCCTGGGATGCCTGTGCTGCATGCTGTGTGCTAAAGGCTCCGTTAAAAAGCACTTTGACATCCTTGTCTGTGAGGGAAGGGCTGCAGAGCCTGCCAGCTGGATGGGGGAGACTTGGTTCCATCTCCAAGGACGGCCCATGCCTTGGAACTGAAATTCCTCCAGAAATCAGCAGAGACCTGTAGAGAGGGGCTGGATATTGTTTTTTACTTTTTTATTAATTCCCCTCGGCCCACACTTGCTTGAGGAAGCAGAACCTTACAGAGGACACGGTGCTTTGCTCTCTTCTTGCTCCCGTTCTGGCAAATTCTTTTTGCTGCCTGCTGGCTGAACRTGCTCGGCACAGAGACAACTCCTCTGCACAGCCCTGGTATCTTGTGGTGAGGGAAACTCCTGTTGGGTTGGATGTCTGATGGTTGGGAGCCTGTTCCCAAAGGGCTGGGTGCCTCTCAGGACCCAGCAGGACTCAGAGCTTTGTTCCTCGGGCAGCTGGAGGAGGGTGGATGGCCGGGGATCATTAGCGATGCTCCGCAAGGAGTGGGTGAGTTTCGTTTCAGTGACTCAGGTCTGAGGGAGCATTGTTACCCCAGGCGTGCACGGGCTGGGAGCCTTTCCTCAGCGGTGCAAAGCTTCTATCCCCGTGGGATCAGGGAGTGTCCCGGGCTCTGCCCAGCTCCGGGAGATCTAAGCAGAGCCACTGTGGTGCTGAGCAGGTCTGAGAGCCTTCAGTGAGCAGGCTGCCCTGAATCCCAGGAACCAGAGCTGCCCTGAATCCCAGGGACCAGGGCTTTCCTGCATCCCAGGAACCAGGCTGTCCTGCATCCCGGGGACCAGGGACCAGGCTGTCCTGCATCCCAGGGACCAGGGCTGCTCCACTTCCCGGGAACCAGACCTGCCCTGAATCCCAGGGACTGGGGCTGTCCTGCATCCCAGGAACCAGGGACTGGGGCTGTCCTGCATCCCGGGGACCAGGGACTGGGGCTGTCCTGCATCCTGGGGACCAGGGGTGCTCTACATCCCAGGGACTGGGGCTGCCCTGCATCCCAGGAACCAGGGCTGCTCCACTTCCCAGGGACCAGGGCTGTTCCACTTCCCAGGCACCAGAGCTGCTCCACTTCCCAGGGACCAGAGCTGCCCTGCATCCCAGGGACTGTGCTTGGAGCGTTTCCCACCATGACTCTGGCATTGCCAGTGAACCCGCTGGACTGGCCCAGAGCCCCTTTCCTGGCACTGAGTGCAAGAAAGGCAAGAGAGGAGCTGCTGCTGCCCAGTGCCTTGGCAAGGCCAGGGTGCTGCAGCACAGATGCTGGCAGGTCTGAGGCTTTACYCTGTCCTTAGGCAGACTTTTTGTTCTGTTTTCAATCATAGTGGGGAGGAACCTACACCGTGCCTTGCAGTTCTTTGCTTCTGCTTCACCCCCCTGTGCTGGGAGGTTCTGCCTGTCTGCTGTGCCAGAGCAGTGAGTGACCTGAGGCCACCGAGCTGCTCGGTGCATCTTTTGCTGATGCAGATCCAGCTGCAGAGCAGAGCTGCCTGCTTCTGGAAGGGACATCTTTGCCAGTGCTCAGTGGGAGATCCAGCCTGGCACTGTGCCTCGCACAAGGTCACTGTTGCCTTGGAAAGCTGCTGGAGAGGACTTTGTGGGCCATCAGGATGCAGCGTGCTGGAGAGTGTGGCACTGTGGCAGTGTCTGCTGCAGCCTGCAGCATTGCAGGGGTCAGTGCCCACCGGTTCAGCAGTGCCCTGCTCAGCTCTGAGCACAGGAGCTGTGTGCCTGCCAGCCCTCCACAGCCGCTGTCTCCTCAGCAGATGTGCTTTCAAGACAAGAATAACGCTGTGAATTGCAAATCCCCCTCCGCCTCCCTCTTTGCCTGCGCTCAGCAAACAGTCTGCCTTGGAATGGCCTGTGTGGGAACCCACGGGCTGTGATAACAGATCCTTCTTTAAGGGAACTGCTGAGGAATGTTGATGAGATTAGAGAGCTGAAAGGGGCTGAGTTTAGCAATGGCATCTCCATGGATGCTGCGGCTGTCTGTGCCTGGATTCCCAGCGTGCAGCTCCACAATTGCCATGGCTGCCTCTTCCAAAGTGCAACAACGAGTCCTGTCTCGGGAAGAGTTCAATGCCACTTGCTCTCTGAGGCAGGGAGAAAACGTGGGGCTGCCCTTTCCATTCCAAAAGAGCTCCTCCCATGCTTCCTGTTGAGACTGAGAGCCTAAAACCAGCATGCTTGTGCCGTGCCTCAGCACAAATACGTAGTTAATCCTAAAAATATGTGCAGCTGGGTCACATTCTCACGCAGGTCAGCAACCAGTCAGGCAGAAGTTTAAAGGTTGCAGCAGAAATGCTGGTACTGATGTGGGTGGAGGATAGACCTTGAGGAGACAGGGCAGGGCAGTGCCCAGCAGGATCATCTCAGTGGGCTGGGCATGGTGTGGGGGGCTCAGGGTGGAGGTTTCAGTGATTCCCCTACCCTTTGTCCCTTACAGATCTGAGAGCC